CGTCTCCGGAGGCTGCGCGCGTTCGTCCCGTGACCTCAGCGCACACGCGGCGCCTTGCGGGAGACACGCAGTGGGCTTGCGCGCGGAAATGCGGCCCAATGCCCAGAGGAACCGTGCGAAATATCTGTTTAATCTAACGCACCCAGCCAGATATTTTTACAGTTATAGTAAAAGTAAATGGCAACATCAATAGGAGAAAACATTTTTTTTAAACCTTGAATGATAAAACTAGTTTCATCGAACAAAAATGGCTGGTATTTGTTTCGTTTCTCAAGTTATAACTTCATTGTCAATATAAAGGTATTATTAATATGTATTGTCAGAACCATTAGCAGGATTTTGATCATAACATATCTTATGTATATAGTCTAGTTATTGAACCTTTTTGATTTAGTGAAACGTGATTTTTATGATTAAGTGAAATATTGAACGAATCTACTTTCGAAAATTTGCTACATTTTCTTGTCAGTACAGTTGTGCATATCTTTCTCAATCTTTCACTTCTCTAGAAAAATAAAAAAATGATATTGGTACTATATTTAAATAAAGTACGTGTATGTTTGAACGGGGATGCAATGGGATATACATTTAATCATCGGACTACTCTGGTTTCACGTGTATGTATGTATCCAAAATCCAGGTGTAGGTATGCACTTGGTGCGACAGCTCGTCAACGTGCTCAGGTCTACCGGCGAAGTCCTTGCCTCGCGGACACGGGATCAGGGGGTACGTTTCTCATCGTCACATAACAACTTACACTGGGACATCGCAAGAAAAACGCACACAAGTCTTGGCTCGACCGCGAATGGAACCCGGGCGGCGTGGTGGAAAGGAGCACGCTGACCCAGAGCTAGTCACGAGCACTGGTTTCACGTGTAGTGAATGTTAAGACAAGCACTTGTTGAAGAGAGGTTTCGTGAGGTCCCTGATATCCGAGGACTTGGCCCACTGTGCGACGGAAGGCGTTCGGTGAGAAGAAGTATATCACGGCGGAGCGCGGTTCCTGCTCTGTGTGGAGAGCTCTCACACGGCGGTGGCGGCGGAGACAGTGGCAGTGGTAGTATCGGTGGAGGAGGCGGAGGAGGCGGAGGAGGCGGAGGAGGCGGACGAGGAGGCGGCGGCAGATGTCCAGACGCGAGCCCGCCACTGCGCTGCGCTGCATTGTGGGAATGCACCCTGAGCGGGGCGTTCACCTTTAGCCTACTGCCGCATCCGGCCGCGGAGGACCCTGGCGTTGGGACTCTGTCCCTTCTATATTAAGAAGTCACCAGCTCCTGGTGCCTATTAAATATTTATTCTACTCAATATCTTATTCAATCTTTGCCCGATTGTAGCCCATTGGTTCTACCGAAGGTGTTCTGTCGTCATACTTTTTTTTATTTGCGAGTCGGATTGGCCGTCTGTTCAGTTTCGGAGACGAAATCTTTACGTGGGATTGGGAACCCTTCTTGTTGATATTTTAGAAATAACAATACTTACTTTTTTTACAATATCGCCCATTGTATTATGCTGCAAACATACATTTGGCATTCACATATTTCAATTCAACAATAATATCAACAAAAGTTTTACAAATACATTTTTTATCAAGTCTCCTTTTTATCTCTATAATATATTCTTTACCAAATCCTTCCTCTTGCATATATGTCCAAATTTCTCCTTTCAATTATTAACGTAGAATTCTTAAAATTACGACAAAACTTGCTCTTCCTACAATTGTGAATTCAAAATGTTACACCCCTTTTCTGTAGAGCTACTGCATTTTTGAACGTGTTCATTCCGTTTCCATTTTGCTGCGTTCACTCCAGACCAACTGAGTCCATTTTGTCCACACTCGCGATTATATTTCCGTTTCTCACTGCACGTTATTCATACTACGAAATTCTCAATTACGTCGATAACTTGTAAAGCAAACCTGTTTGCCCCCAAATGCTACAATTAATAAAATTTTAAGTTCACCTTTGACTACATCTGACATCACCTTTACTTCCGGCTCCTCCCGCACGGGAATCCGTCTGTCTGTCCAGTGTACCTCGCGCGCTTGTCAGCACTCTCGCCCTCCGCGAGGTCCCAATATACAATTTCCTCCTTCCCTCCTAGTGCGCTGGCCAATCGATGCCTCGCACATGATCTTATTTCTGATGGGTCCGTCGTAATTTTCTCTGGATTTATTTATTTCTTGTTCGAAATACTTCTCGTAACTTATTTCCACACCCACGGTAATTTCTGACACGTTCTTTTATAAATTTAATTATTAACACATTCTCTCTTTCCCCCGCTATCATTTGTGTCGGCATTCCCTTGTAATCTTATTAATTAAAATTCAAACTTTTCTTATCTCTTCGCCATTGTTTCTATCGTCCATATTTACATTTAATATGCTTTTACTGTTTTCATTTATTTATACTCGGATTTGAGATAACCTATCAAAATATCGCTTACTTATTTCCTCTTTTTTGTACACTTTTTTTCCTATTCTTATTTTTATAGTTATCGTTATTACCAATAATATTATTACATCTAAATTGCCCCAAAATGTTTGGTGTCGTTAAATACCTAATCTACTCCAGGTTGTAACCATCTTAAGGAGCACATCACGTACTCTAGTACATGACTCGGGTGTCTCTTCAGTATTTTCATTTAAGCCGAGCTTTAGGTCTTAAAATGAACGGACAGGTCTAATACTCAGTAGATCCAAGGTAATAAGAGAGATATTGCGCACTAATCTGCCAAAAGGTGTACGAGCCAGTAGGTCTAAACCGGGAGAGGTCTAAAATTAGAAAGTTCAATTACGCAGGTCTATTGGTTTACGGTTATTTGTAGTTGGCATTTCAAATAAAATAATTAGTGGCATTGTCTTCAATAACAGTATTATTTATTTAAAGACAGATTTCGATGGCTTACCCATGGTCATCACTTTCCCGCAGCTTGGAAGTCATAAAAAGACTAGCTGCAAGTTCTACCATCAATAGGACTAGTAGGGAAATACAATGACAAATGTAATAAATATTTGAAATATATTTTCCATTCACATGTATTTTATGACGTTCAATTCTGTAAGATTTACATTTGATTGGATTCGTGTTCAAATTAGAAAGAAATTATCATTTTTCAATTTTGTAATTGTTGCGTTGGTGAAAGACATCTTCCTTCTTGTCAATCAATGTCAATCTAATTGTTAATAAACCGTATCCGATGTTTTTATGGAAAATGGTGTAATTGCTGGTAATAAAGTATTGTAATAAAATATTTATCAAAACATTTATTCTACAGTAGATAAAATTATCGTTCCATTTACCTGCCGATGACTAATTATGTTGAAACTAAAGTTGTACTCATGAAATGGCGAGTACAAAATCCGACATTACCTTTACATTACAAGTTTCTAAAGTCAATAACACACCATGTCATTTCAGTTTCATTTCATTTTCATTGTATGGACATATGCCACCTTGCTGAGTCAGGAGGTTGAAAAAAAATATAAGGAAAATTGATGATCGAAGAAAGTGTACAGAATACAATGAGTACAATATCAGAATAAATGACACATGGCATTGTTCAGTCAGTTACATCAACTACTTGAATTGATTGACACCGCATGCGGCATTGCAGAATGCCAACATCTGTAGTCATTCCTTTACAACTTACAACCATTCTCATCTATGAGCAATGAATAGCTAATAATTTGCATCACTGCTTACAGCGCATCATCAGTGTTTTTTTATGAAGAAACAGATGTTAGAAAATAACGCTACCAATCCATTAGAAATAACTCACTCCGCCCATTCAAAGAAAAACATCCCGCGTTTCAAGGTCCAGTTCCGCAAAAATGTTCCTTTGACGCGCACATCTCCCGCTCGCATGCCGCGTCTTTCCTCGCGCCCAGCGCATACTCATTCTTCAAGCGCCTTGCGCTGCGCGAAAGCGTTTAAAAAAAGAAGGCGCAGCGAGCCATGTGTCGAAGGCGTCTGCCGCGAGAGAGTTCGGGCGGTCGGTCCGTCAGGGATGCAGTAGCGGCTATTTTTGGCGCGTGAGGGAATGCAGTCGGAAGCCGTGACGTGACGTGACACGCCCCCACCCCAAACCCCCGCCCCCGCGCCGTGCCAAGAGCGCCATGACAGAAGGCCTGTAAGGGTGGTAGGGGGGCAAGCGGAGGAACCGCTTGCGAAACGTGCCGACGTGTTTTGACACGACGGAGCATGCATTGGCTCCGCCCGAGGAACGGGAGCGCTGCGTTGGAGCTGGGCCTACGACGAGATTAGCGATTGTTAAGAGATCCATCTCCACAAGAACCTTATTTTATGTTATTATTATTGAAATAAAAAATTGAATAAAGAAGTTTGGAGAGACACAGACAAGTAGAGAAAGATCATAGGAATACATTGAATTTTATCTTGTAAAAAAGTCAGAAAAATATTTTTGTATTTATTCATTGTAATACTGTGTTCATAATAATTAATATTATTATTAATATTATTTATTACATTTTCATTATTTTACATTTCACCACCTGGCCAAATTTGTAAGTTTAACTGTCGGGAAGGAATATATTTCATGTTTCACAACCACCAACTATTGTAACTCCACAGATATATAGCAAAATTATATTTTTGAATAGTGAAATATCATTTAAAACATTATTATTATTATTATTATTATTATTATTATAAATTTTAAGTCAGTGTTATCCGATTTCCTGATCAACTAATTTTCGATATCATGTGAACTCGAATTATTTAGGCCGAGATTTACATTCAGTTGATCCACATCTATTCAGATTCCAACTTTAATTCTATATCAATTACCTTTCAGTAGTACGTAAGCTTTCTAATGTTTCATAGGGCATTCTTTGTTCATGAAATTATTGTATTTTTCTTTTCATTGCAGGTGAGTGACAAATAGGAGCATCATGACTTGGAGTCTCCTGTTTGTATGTTACTTGGACTGCACCCGCAACTCTCAATACAGTATCTCTAAACTATATTGTAGTAAATGTACAGGCATTGAAATTTGTAAACTATTTTGTATTGTTTTTGTGTTTTCTTTTTCTATGTATTTTGAGGGAAAATGGAGTTTTTAATGTTAACTCTCCGCTCTTACAATTCGCGTTGCAGTTAATAGTAATTTTGATAAAGATTGGAAATTAAATACATGCATCAGAACCCCTCTAGTGAATTACAATTTATCAAGTAATCTGGTTATTCATTAAATTATATAGGTCACATTCATAAATTGTATGGTAACTGCATTTGTTAATAATTGCATAAATGATGTTGCGAAGGGTTTCTATACACGAAAATTAATTGAGATATACCACAATGCAGAATTTGAAATTAAAATCACGTACCCATTGTGAATTCCCCATGAAAGACCTACATTTAGTATACGGAATATAAAACGTATTGATTTTTTTGACAAGAATAACAATAAATCATGATACATAATGCGGTGGTCGTTGTTTTTCTGTGTTTAGCTGAGATGAATATTGATAGTACATTGATAGAATATTAGGTATACTTATATATTCCTGAATCGTGCTCATGTTAAGTTTACAAAGTGGAATTATCAGTCTCTTCTGTGATGTATTTTGAATGCAGACACAAGAGCAGAAGAGTTCATGGTATTATTTTTTCTCGGACATTTTGTCGTTAATGTAGTTGACATTAGAAATATAGGGATTCAAATATCAGGCTGAGTTAAAGACTTTTTGGGATTTATCGAAGGAAGTATCATGTAGATTGTTTAAGAGATTAAGAAACACGTCTTTCATCAAATCAATATAGAATTTATAATAATATGTAATTTGTAAGCCTCTATGATGGCACATGGCAGCATAGTAACTTTCCGTGGTAGATTCCCGGTCTAGGCGAAAAACGAGTTGAAACTTTCCTCTAAAACCGCCTCAGTTTCTATAGTTGTGAGATGAAGAAAAGCTTAGGCAAAGCTAGTTGCGAGTTCGCTATTGATTTGATGAGAATATATCATGTTCGTCACAAATCTCACTTGTACACGTAGGCTTCCGCGGCTCGAGTCCGCCAATCACGGCGCACTTGCGTTGCCCGACCACTAGCTGAATAAGATATAACACCGGAGGCGGAGCTTTACTATGTCAGTACCCTGAAGAAGCCTGCGACATGACAGGCGAAACGTCGGCCTATCTGCCAACGACGCGGCGTCACCCGGACAGCCTAGAAGTAACAAATCTCACTTATCCCCCCCCCCAAAGTGTGAGAATTAAACTGTCAGCTAGACGGCAAAGTTCGACAGTCGACACAAAATTCCGAATATATACTACAAACAAATAATTTGTACTTCAACTGCAATGCATTCAGGATTGTTTTTCAATGAATTGTAACATTTGAAGTAGAGTGGCATGAAGAGAATGACTGTGATATAATAGCATAGTACAAAAGAAACTTACTCATATAGCAGGCATTAAGTGCTGATAGAATTTACTTAACTTGTCTGAAACAAATGTTTCTTTTCATTTTTAACAAACTTATTTCAAAGTAAATTGTAGATATTTTAAAAATTAGGAATTTTATGAAATGTTACAAAGAATTTAAAAACAAATCACTAATAAATTTGAGAACTAAAATAAAATATTCACATTTATTCTCATACTGTCTTTTTCCCTCATTAAAAGATAGGACTGCCTCTGCTAGGCGGCAGTTCGGACTTAACCCCATTTTACAAAGGGCCTCCACTCAACATGAATGAACATGTTTCGGGTCTCGTTTATACTCTCTCGATGTGACGATGCTGAAGCGATCCTAAACTTGGACCTACCTGACCACAAGAGAAATTCGACCTCCGCACTGGTTGACGTGTGCTAACCACACATCCCCAAGCAAAACCAGACCTGGCAAACTTCTGCTCCATTACTATAATAGGATACTAACGGCAAGAAACAGTTTGGGTGACGTAAGGCACATGCTTGAAATGAAACGGCGAGTGGTCAAGAAGAACACATGCAATGTCAGGCGGCGCTGCGGGCGAACCGAACCGAACCGAACCGACGGAAGGCCAGGGTCGAGCGGAGGAGGCGGCGACGTTCATTGCACAATGGCCCCACATGGGCCAAACACTCCAAAGACGCGCATTGCAAAATAATGTGGTTCTACAGAATGGCACAGACTTTCCCGTATTAGGTTTCTATTTCCTTTGGTCTCGGATAGCTACACGAACTTGCGACAATTTTTTTAAATTTTCTTAATTTGAGAAAACCGTGTTTTTTTAATTTTTTAGTTTCTTGTTTTGTAATCTTAGTTTTGTAATATTGCACGCAATATTGCGCGTAAACTACTGAAAGTTTCAGAAAAATGTGCATGACATTAATGAATTAACGTATTAAGGACAAAAAGTTTCATTTGAAGGAAAATTTCTATCTTCAATTTTCTAGTTGTAGGAAACCGCCGAATAAACTTCATACATTTCCAATTTTTGAAAATCCAGAGTTAACCCTGCAAATCGAACCTATACCACTTTTATAAGTGTATATTACTCTATTCTTTCAAGAAATTTAAAGAAACAATTTACAGCCTGTTTTGAGAAAATTTTGAATATGTCCGGGAGGTTTAATGTAAAGTAGTTCCACATTTTAGTGAATGTATTTCAAAATCTCAAAGCTATGACTCCAGCCAGATTGACAGGGGTTTCTTCAATTTGGAAAAAGTCCTACACATGGTACGCTAGTAGTGTTCACAGATGGGCAGACAGACTTTTTGCCATGAATTGATTTTTCTCAATTGATTTTTCGGTATCAAGGACCCTCAGACAGTCTGAGAGCATCGAACAACAATACGTTATAGATGTGTTGGATAGTGAAGAGAAAAATTTATATTTACCAGAGCAGTGGAGTTGCCACCTTACAAGTTAGTATTAGCTTTAATTAAATTCAATATCTTCCCCTATTTTTGAACGAGGACATCCCTATACCGTTTTCGTTTGGGCCCACTGTTCGGCGGCGGCGGCGGCGGCGGCGGCGGCGGCGCTGCAACGAGCAGCGATGCACATCGCACCCGCAGGCGCCGGTTCTCAACGCCCGCCCCGCCCCCGCCCCCGCCCCCGCCCGTCCGGCCTCGCCACCCGCCAGACGTCACGAATAAATACGGCCAGCTCGGCGGCAGCAGGCAGCCGCCGCGCGCAGGGGCGGCGCTCAGCGATGGGTGGGTGATCGAGAGGATCAAGGTAGGTGGGGTGGTATGCGGTAGGTGGCCTACGGAACAGGGCCAAGGCCGCGCGGCGCCCCGCGAGCCGCACCGGTGCCACCCTCTCGCAGGATTTGTATTGCGCTTTCCGGTCGGCGACCAGATGAATGCGGTTGACATCAGAATGCTACTTTCACAACTGCACATTACTAATTAATTTCGCGCAGATCGCTTTTTGCCTTCATAACTCCCTGTTCCAGTTTTGAACCGGAAATGTAGAGTGGTAATTGAAATTACGTGCCAATCCTTCCATTGCGCCAGAAAAGTCTCTCCGCCGGGGCTGGTGCGAGCACCATCAGCAGAAATTATGTTGGTAGCACGAGCTGCTTCTTGTAACAAAAAAAATGTAAATTGAGCACTCACGACAATGCTGAATGTGTTGTTTCCTGTACTTTTTTCCAAGTGATGAGGTTGCTGTCATAAATTCAATTTATAGTAGGAGGCCTTGAGTCGGCTCGGTGCGGAGAGACGTTCCCGGCGCACGTTATTTCAGCGTCTCAAAACGCAAAGATCTTCCAGTTTCCTATGATGAAAGTGCAGCACTAATGATTTGAGACCCTTCCGGGTCTTTTGGAAGCCTATCATAATATAATTTAATTAATTAAATCTTCTCCCGAATTTATCATTAAAATTTCTTCACAATACTTCTGGTATCTGAGTTTTCTTGGCGAGGGAGCAATTGGGTATTGGGCAATTGGCGAGGGGCAACGCATCTTATAAATATCCAATAACTTTATCATATCGCCTTTCATGAGCCTAATGTCTACTTCATTAATTCAGTATCGTAACATATTTACTATATTGATGAACAACAAAAATTCGTCTAGCATACCTTAGCAATAATATTATATGTATTTAATCATTGCTGTAAAATAATATATTTAATAACTTATGAACTATCAAAGATATAACAAAATACTGCAGTTGTAACACGTGAATATAAAATGAACCTCTTTCCTTTCAGTTTCGATTTCAAACCCCTCTTCTTCTTTGAACATCGTTCGGGTGTTTCAGCTCCCGAGCCTGCCCTCTTCCTTCGATCCGCTTCGATTCTGCCTCGGCCGGCATTCTTCTCACGCCGTGGGATCTTCTTCTGTTGCCCACACGTCGCTCGGTTGTGGCGTAATGAATCCTAAAGCGCTGAATTGACAATTGAGGAGACGACGTTGGGCTCGCGTCGATAGCGCACACGAATGGACGTGGTTGCTGTCTCTTGAAGGAGACAGGAGCGAAGATATATTCGAAGGATACTGAGAGAGATGGCTCTAACTTTACGCTGTATTCTCAAGTAGACATTTGGACAAGGCTGCGACGAATCATGAAAGCGGATGCAGAGATCTAGATCAATGGAGGACGTGGTGAATCTGCGCATGAAAGAGAGTAACTGCATGTTCTCTTATTACTTTAAGGTTACTTACTTTACTACTCTTAATACGTCAGGCATGTCAACTTTAATTTCAAACTTCGTTCTTTCAATTTTATTGATTCTTAAATATATGTTTGTGAGGAAGCTGAAAAAGCAGCTTATCATGTTTTATGTAAATGAACTATATACGATGCATTAGTAGCGAACTTTGAATTAACAACATTAACATTTTGGAAGTTTTAACATTTTAAAATATAGTTTGAAGAAAATACATCTCCCAAAATTTCTTAATATATCTGCAGATAAAATGCTTCACGAAAGGACATAAGCAATGTTGTTTACGGGAATCCTAAACAATATCAAAAGGGGTCGTAAATTAAATTATTGTACTAGAGTGTGATAGTTAAACGTTGTAGATTTCAAGAGACATTTTACACATTAAAATTTCCATCTATTTTTTTTAAGCCGAAAATTAGCTCCATAATAAAGTGTTTTTTTACAGGTACACATTTTGTGCAGAAAGTAAAGAAATTGTAATAAACACAATAACCAGGCGTGTGAAACATACTCTGGGTCATTTTGATTAAACTGTTCTGACTTTTTATTGCAAGAAATGCTTTTTCGCGAGGCCCAATATTGCGTGACGTGTAGATTTACCGCCATTTTCTCCTCTTTGAGTTGACTTTTTGTTTACAATTTATGGTTTAACGAGGTTTTTTGGTAGTAGTGATGTATAATTTTCGATTATTGACCGGAGTGCCGACTTAGTTGTTTTAG